TCATTTAGTTATAGAGATTGAGTAAGAGATTGGAATAATAAATGGTGTTTAAGAGAATAATGGAAAGGAGAATAATCTAACTATTTCTGTCAATGAAATAATAAATAATATTATTTTCTATAATTTTAGACTGCCAAATATTATATGTTTGGTTTGGATTTCTTATATCTATTAAATGAAACTATTTCACGGATTTTATCGCGTTTTTATTTTGATTCGAACTTCCCGACGTTATGATCCCTTTCTTGTATCTGTTCTTGGATTTGCAAAAAATTCTGATATACAGTCAATTTTACAAACGAATATTTTGTAATTGTGTGGTTAATTGACCTTGAAATCATCATCATCATCATCATCATCATTTCAGCCTATTTGAGTCCACTGCTGAACATAGGCCTCCCCCACAGACTGCCATGAACAGTCAGCACGATCCTGAGCCACCTGCATCCATCGACTTCCCGCACATTTGCACAGGTCGTCACTCCATCTAGTGGGGGGTCGTCCTACACTGCGATGGCCAGTACGAGGCTGCCACTCGAGAATCTTTCTTCCCCAACGGTTATCGGTTCTACGAGCTATATGGCCGGCCCATCGCCACTTCAGCTTGCTAATCCTCTGAGCTACGTCGGTTATCTTAGTTCTACTGCGGATGTCTTCGTTACGAACTCTATCACGCAGAGAAATACCGAGCATAGCCCGCTCCATAGCTCGCTGAGCGACTTTTTTCCTCATACGGCCAGCAGTGAAGGACCACGTCTCGGTTCCGTAAGTCATCACTGGCAACACACATTGATTGAAGACTTTAGTCTTCAAACATTGAGGTATATTCGACGAGAAGATTTGCCGTAGTTTCCCGAAACGCTGCCCATCCGAGTTGGATTCGCCGATTGACCTCTGCGTCGAAGTTGGACTTACCTAGCCGGACTAACTGTCCTAGGTAAACGTACTCGTCAACAACTTCGAGCTCAGTGCTCAGTGCTCCCAACAACAACCGGTGAAGGCGTGACATGGACATTAGACATGATCTTCGTCTTGTCCATGTTCATCTTAAGGCCCACCCGTTGGGAGACGCTGTTGAGGTCATTGAGCATACCGGTACTTGTGGTCCTTCAGAGGCTCTTTAATTCCGTCCTTCAGGGTGGTGCTACACCAGAGGCGTGGAGCAGAAGTGTGGTGGTGCTGTTCTTCAAGAAAGGCGATAATGCTCTCTTGAAGAACTATAGACCGATATCCCTTCTGAGACGCGTCTATGTGCTGTTCTCAAGAGTCATCTTGAATCGTCTCGCTTCCAGACTCGACGACTTCCAGTCTCCCGAACAAGCCGGATTCCGAAAAGGCTTCAGTACCATAGACCACATACATACCTTGCGGCAGATTATACAGAAGACCGAAGAGTATAATTTGCCTTTGTGCCTAGCGTATGTGGACTATGAGAAAGCCTTCGATTCTGTTGACCTTGAAAGTGGGCATGAAATTGTATACAATATGTCTCGAGATAAACGACTTCATTTTGAAACAACTGTTATGTCGTTCTATAAATTAAAATGTAATTGTTTTATTTAAATATGGGTTTACAATTGTACATACTAACACCCACACTAGCCTGTCTGTCCAATGGGGGAAAGTGGGTAGAATCACTTCTTATTTCATTAATTAATTAATGATTAAACGAACTTACCTGTAAGTGAAGTTCTATCATAATTATACGAGCGCCGAGTCCGAAGAGATAAGTAATTAATTATATTATATTATTACACATGTAGTAACGCATACGTACCACCACTCGGCACTTAAATTGAGAGATACCCTTTTTTTTTTTTTAATATGTGGGTACTTTGAGTCCCTACACCCCACCTGCGTCCAATCCTCTCTCCGCCTCTCATTTAGTTTAGAGTCAAGTACACGAGAAAACGAGCTCATTGATGTATGACCGAGATATAAAGAGGGTAGAAAGTCGATTGGGTGGGTGGGACTTACTAATCTCTTCGGACTCGGCGCTCGTATAATTATGATAGAACTTCACTTACAGGTAAGTTCGTTTTATCATTAATTATACTCGCGCCTCGTTCTCGTAGACACATGTAGACTTTGAGAGCTGAGTCGGGAATATCATCAATGAGTAAACAGTACAGCATTGATATGCATTTATTTGATTCATAAACAAAACCATTAACTTAACAAAAAATATTTCTTAATATATCATAATATTATGTTTAAACAAGATAATAAAATTTATAATTAGGTACTAAGCCTTTCAGTGTACTAATCAGATATAGGTTTTAAGTAATTATAGATTGAGCTAAGGCTGTATCATCATAATTTGTAATGGTTCCCTGGTAGAATCGTGCAAAGGTATTGGATTGTCCACTCCAGCCAGCAGTGTTACGGATGGTATCGACGCTGACGCCGAGCGAGTATGTGTCTTGTGCTGTGTGCACTGAACACGCTCGTGTCGATTCCGCACTTAGCCAATGTGTTTTTCAACCAGCGACTGAGGGTTTGAGTGCTCACGTTATTATGCGGCCGCTTCATTCCGACAAATAAATAGTTAGACTTCCTTATGGATGCGGTTCTTTCTAAACAACATTGTAAATTATGCGCTGGACATACTGCAGGTCTTTCTATAAGTCTTCTGTAAGGCAAATTTAAAACCGGTTGCTTCCTGCCAGGTCGAGTAGTTTTAATGAACTCGGGAATCTTTATGACATTACGGTTAGAAGTAAAGTGAATGTTTTCGACATTTATTTTGGAAAGAGTCTGAACTCGTTGGGCTGTCGCGAGAGCTAATAACATAAGTGTCTTGTATGTTAGTTTTTCTAACGAAATCTCACTGTTCGGATACCATAAGCTCAAATAATCTAAAACTAAGTTGGTGTCCCATGTCAAATTATATTTGGGATACGTCGGTCTTAAACGAAACACCCCCTTGAAAAATCTTTGCACTCTATCGTCTCTAATCAATGTTGGTCCTAAGATAAGAGATAGAGCCGATCTGCATGAGTTTAAAGTTCCATATTGACATCCCTTATCGAAAAGTGTTGCAAGGAAGTAAATAATATTGGGCACTGATACCTCATAAACTTGCATGTCGTGATGCTTACAAAAATACCACCATTTTTTCAGGCAACTGTCATACTGCTTGAATGAATTGACTGAAAGCGATGCCATCATTATATCTAATGACGACGTCGGTATGCTTCTTCTTGACAGTGCGCTCCGGATAATCTCCCTACCACCAGGGTTCGATCGAGTTCTGAACCTGGCGGGATCTGGAATAAGACAGTATTGGATTGCTATTAGGCGGAAGGATAACAGTTTCTGAAATGAGTAGGGACATAAACACGGGGTACCATGGTTGTGTTGGCAACAGTGGTACCACCATGATGCCTTGAGCTTCATCTGCAATAATTTTTCTAAGAGTCTTCAGTATTACGGAAAATGGCGGAAAAGCATAAAAATTTAGTTTATTCCATGAAATTGTGAACGCATCTACACAAAGAGCATCTGGATCCCTGTGCCACGAAATGTATGTATTGCATTTTTTATTAATGCGACTAGCGAACAAATCGATGTCTGGACTTCCGAATGAGTGTGTTAAAACATCGAAAGCCTCTTTTGATAGCTCCCATTTTATGTCAGGGTGGCACCGTCCTGACTCAAAATCGGCGATAGTGTTGTCACTGGACTTAATATATGACGCAAATACAAATAATTTCTTATTTTCACACCAGTCCCAAATCCTTCTAGCGATTTGAGTAAGATGATGGTATTGTATTCCGCCCATCCGATTTATATAAGCTATTGCAGTGGAGTTATCTATTCGTAATAAAATTTGACAGTCGAATAGATCTCGTGTGAAAATTTTAAGGGACATTAAAGCGGCGAGAAGTTCCAAATAGTTAATATGGTGTCGCTTCTCAATAACAGACCACTGCCCGCTCGCAGTTTCACCGTTACAGGCAGCCCCCCCACACCGTAGTTGAGGCGTCAGAAAATATCTCCCTGGAGTATTTATCGTATTTTATACGACAAACAGAATGTTCGATGTTACGCAGCCACCATTGGAAGTCTGGGTACAATGAGTCAGGTAGACTCATGTACCTATTATAATCATTCCACTTCAATAAATTAAGATATTTGCATCTTTCCATTTCTTTGGTATGAAGCCAACCATACTCGATGGCTGGGCATGATGATACCAATGATCTCAATAGCTGTGCAAATTTTCTTATCCTAGTGCGTTTTAAAAATAAAAATTGTTCTAATTGGGCTTTTATACGCATTCTCTTATCTCCCGGTAAACGTAATATAAGTTTGTGGGAATCTATAATCATACCTAAAAATTTACAGGACATTGACGGTTGAAAATTACTTTTCTCTTCGTTTATAATAAAGCCAAGAGAAGTTAGTATTTTTCTTGTAATTTCTATATTTTTTAAACAATTTTCGTAGCTACTACCCAGTAGAAACCAATCGTCCAAATATAAAGTCGAAAACCAACCTGCGGAACGCAGCAGTTTAGTTATAGGTTTTGCTATTTTTGTAAATATGTAGGGGGCAGAATTTAATCCAAATGGGAGTACATTAAATTCGTATATTTTATTGTCAAAAAAGAAGCGGAGGAACTTCCTAGAACTTTCGTGAATTTTTATCAAAAAATAGGCATCCTTGAGGTCGAGAGTAGCCATGTAACAATCTTTTGTGACCATTTTAATTGCCGTCCTTAGGTCTTCCATTTTAAAATGTTCTGTCTTAATAAATGTATTTAAATTCTTAAGGTTTAATATTAGACGCTTTTTACCATTCGGTTTTGATATTAAAAATATTCTAGAAATAAATTGTCCTGCACATGGTTCGCATTCGGAAATTGCTCCATTTTTAATTAAATCATTAACAGCTTTGAGATAAAATAACTTTTCGGTAGCTGTGTATGAAACAGCAGGGGGTACCGAATATTGCACTACTGGCTGTTTAAAGTTTATCTTATAGCCCTCAATCTAAGACAATACCTTGCGGTCGCTGGTAATGAGGGACCATTGATTAAGGAATAAGGACAAACGGCCCGCGTACTTAACTCTATTCAGTGGCGGCGTGGGCGGTGCAGCTGCCATGACTCCCTCGATGATTGCGGCCGTGCACGCGGTGCACGTTGAGTTGCAGGTCCGCGGCTCCGAGGCGCCGACCTCTGTGGCAGCGCTTGCCCCTGCGACCTGCGCGACTGGGGTGGAGCTCTGTAGTTTAAACGATTAACTGGTTTGGGCAATCTTTGTGCAGCCTTAGTAGTAGTTATGTTGGCTTTTAATTCGAGGCCCGATTTGTTTACTGCTTTTGCAGATTTCAAAGTCTCGGGAAGGTTTTCCCCAAATGGAAACTCATCAATTTTGGTATTCTTGATATGTTCCTTCATATAATTTTTAAGCATTTTTAAGAATACGATAAAATTTCTCCTTGTAACAGAATCGGCATGCTGAATATCGCATAGTATTCGGTTTATGTCCATTAGTTTCCGTAGTTCGTCGTTATTTTTACTCGGTAAATTCATGTGAGAGTTTATAACATTACTAAGACATGAAATAGCACATGCCATTTGTTTCTGTTTTGTTTCAATGCCCTTATAACGTTTAATGGCAGTTTCCGGAACAGCAGCCTTTATTTCTATGTTAAGTTTAGGTGCGTCTATCTGGATAGAGTTTGATGGTATTGGGTATTTGCACATCAACTCCTTACGTAGTTCCGTGTTGAGACCACTTGTAGCGATATGTACCATACGATTAGCAAGTTCACTGCGTATTTCCGGTCCATAGTTATTTTTGTTGGAGGGATCCTCTCCTAAAATCTCTAGTAAGTCGTCTTCTGTTAGTGTAACGTTATAAGACGTACTCGGACCCGACAGTGGTGTGGGGTCACTAAAGTCAGGCTGAATTGAAGAGTTAACCGCCTGGTTTTGTTCGATTTCTTCATCAGGTGTTTCATCTATTAACCATTCATCTGGCCGTAACTCTGGTGTATCTGAAACCCATCATGAATATGATTGTAGGTAGTTTGACTTATTTTTATTAGGCAACAGTTGTGGGTGAGTTCACAATTGTTTACGTTCGACGAGAATTAATGAATCTCAGAAATAATATCTCAGTATTTCACTGATTATCACTATTGAGTGATTGACTATATTTGTTTAATAACAGTTAAATAACTTAAACTGAGGGTTATATTATATCACCCCATGTGAGCCGTGCTATATTACTCATGCGTCGAGACAGTCCCAGCGACTGCTCAGGTTGCATAGAGTAGTTATCATGCGTCAATACGCTTGCATATTTTATTTTAATATAAACTCAGGTAAATACCTGTGTCCGAATTTGTAAGAGGTATTACACCTTCCCTATTCGGGGAAGCTCCAGATTCGGCAACATCACTGTGTATTCGATGTAATTTTTCTTCCAACTTTTGTATTTTTCTTTGGAGTCGCTCCAGTGTATCTTCTTTGGAACGTTTTCGTTTAGGCATTTCTTTTAAACTTTAACTTTAAAACACTATTAAGAAACCGAAACACAACTTAAAATGTGAGACGTGTTGAGTGGTAAGGCACTTAATTGCGAATGAGAGGCGGAGAGAGAATTGGACGCAGGTGGGGTGTAGGGACTCAAAGTACCCACATATTAAAAAAAAAAAAAAAGGGTATCTCTCAATTTAAGTGCCGAGTGGTGGTACGTATGCGTTACTACATGTGTAATAATATAATATAATTAATTAATCTCGAGGACGAGGCGCGAGTATAATGACCGTAATATGATGATATGATGTTTTTTGATGTGGCAATTTCAATTTTCCACCCACCTTAACACAATCGAGGAGCCGGACGAAGAGAACCTACAAGCGAACCAACCGCTTAGATTCTTTATCTAACTTGTTAATCTATTGTAGATAAATGAATAAAAATTCGGCGCTGCGGGATTCAAACCTACGTTATCTGGTTTCGCGCCCATTTATCCACAAAGTCTCTTATTGAGTGCAGAGACTAGCACTCAAAATAAAAACGTCCTAAAACTATCCACTTCTCTTTCGTTTTCTCTTTCGTCTCAAAGGCGATTCGGACACAGGAATAAAACTGCTCTCGGCGTCTGACGTTCACTTGCTATCGGTCCGGATGGCAAGTGAGATATAAGATAGCTCTACATTACAGATATTGTTTGACTTTCACTTTGCGTTGAATACTAATTTAAGAAATATTCAAAAAAAATGTTTCCCTTTTAAAAAACAAATGTTGCCTTTTAAATAAAAAGCAAATTTTACACAATTGCACTGAAAGAATAACAGTAGCTATCATTCTATCTTCTGTTAGAAATCTGACAAAAGAAAATCCCTTTTTTCTTTCAAATCACCCATTTGTATTGGAAAATAAAACGCAAAAAACAGTTATTCAATTCATTCAAGATTTTTTTGAGACGCAATATTTTATGTTACTCTAATCGTTACACTCCACTCATTCTCTAAGGAAAGCCCTTTACTGTGTCGAATTTGAAATTCAAATAAGCTCGTTTAGCATAAACGGACAAAATGGTTATGAATTTACTGAATAGACCTCAGACTAAACTGACAGATTTCAATATATCAGTATCATATAATTTACTAACTATTACTAATCATTTAATAATTCCGTGATTGACTTATTGAATGAGAAAATATTTTATGGATTTTCCCGTGAGTTTCTATCAACACAATCGGCAGCCGGACGTTTAGTTTTTTATTTCATAGATAAAATAGACAAAACAATTATCGATTCACCATACATTGATTTTAACAAGTGACCTAAGTATGCATTGTTCAATAAAAATGAAATAAGTAAAATCAAATAAAAAATTAAGGCAATGAAATTAATAATTAAATAAACAGAATCGTTCGAATGCCTAAAATTATTTAACTTTTTAGGGTTCCGTACCCAAAGGGTACAACGATACCCTATTACTAAGACTCCGCTGCCTGTCCATCTGTCCGTCTGTCACCAGGCTGTATCGCATTAACTGTGATAGTTAGACTGTTAAAATTTTCACAGATGATATATTTCTGTTGCCACTATAAATAGCAAATACTATGAAACAAAATAAAAAATATTTAAGTGAGGCTACCATACAACAGACATGATTTTTGCCGTTTTTATAGAGATGGTACGGAACCCTCCATACGCAACTCCGGCTCGTTTTATTCTTAGCTGTCCCTTAAAATGTTTTTACTGTCTATTTTAATAATGCCTACCGTCCCAGTGCAGCATATTTTTAAGTTTTTGCATACATTGTTAAAAAAAATATTTGGTTCGTTAGAAAATATCATTTACTTACTTTCGAATTTTAGCAATCTTTTAGAATTTTGCACACAAATGAGTATAATTATTAATTATACAATCAATAATGAATGTGCAATATACGTACATATATTATTACCGATCTCAGTGCTTCGATAAACTGACCACTGAAAGTTGCACGCTCGTTTCCCTACGACTACAGGCGAACAATAAACCATTTTAAATTGCATCATTATGTACACGAATATCTGCAGTCATCGAATTAGGGAACATGCACATTTTGCGGAATTGTAACAAATGTTCGCACATAAATTCTGCCATCTTTGCTGTTCTCGCATTCCGAAATAATCTTTCCTTTTTTAGCGTGCCTTAACGAAATTGGATCTTATGATGGGGAACTTTAAAGTGCATATTAGAAACTCCTTATTTTTTAAGGAGTTTAAGTAAAAACGATTAATCGAAAGGAGTGGTCGCCAGTATTAGCAAATATATGATTTTGTTTAGTGAGCGTTGTTTTAGAACAGTATAATTCAACCTTGAACTAAGATTTATAATGTTATTGAATAAAACATTTGACTTTTGTACAAACTTTTTTTTTAAATGAATAAGTTAAAATTAATGCCATAACTTCTTTTTTAACTTTTTTATGGCGTCGAAATTGATTAATTCCGTAGAAAATAAATATAAATAGTGAAAAAATACTTAAACCACCAATTGTCTGAGACCTTAAGTTACTCAGTATTACTTTATGACACAAAGTAAATAATAACATTAATTTGTTTTAAGTTGTATCAGATTTCATTGAGATAGAATGACGTAGCTACATAGTGCAAATAATAAAAATGAGTTCAAAAAATTATACTGATTTATTCCGGTTAGCGGATAATTTCCGGCAGAAAATATGACGAAACATGGCATGATCATAGTAATAGCAAAGCTTATGGGAAATCAACATGATATTAACAGCAGTCAATTTCATTCAATAACATTTTGTAGACATACCTCAGAGGCATACAATAGTAACTCCACATTTTTCAAAATTATTTTTCTTACAACATTAAAATCGCTAGAACAAATTTTACACAATAGTATATACCATTAAGTCCTACGACGCTTAATTAATAAAATGTCGAATCGTATATGACACATAATAATAATCCATGGTGCATTCAAGGATTCACTCACAGATTTTTTCTACTGTAAACTTTGTGTATTGTCACATAATGCTGTTTACGTCTGAGGCACAGATATGTTGGATTGTTAATAACTCCGTTTAAATTTCTATAATGACATAATTACAGCTTTCTACAAGCAATTAGTTATGTGAAATCGCCCGTAAGTAATATCTTTTACGTATGATGAACTTTATATGTTATTTATGAGTACGGATTTAATTGGCGAATTCGCACGGTCCAAATGGATCATTGTAATGAACACGTCCTCGCTCATTAAAACTAATGAGCAATACGATTTTCTCCTGATTTTCGTAGTCGATTTATAAAACCGAGTAAATTTAATGGCAGCCGTAATCAGAGAACACAATTAGAGCTTACATGAAGTGCTTTTCCTCACAAGTATTAGCTTAACAAAAGTTTTTTAAAATGAGTTTAACTACGTTGATAGAAAAAAAAAAGTCCAATGACACTTTTATGTAGAGGCAATTTTCCATACAAGATTTAACAATGGAAAAAAAGTTTTTTTGCTGAGGTCATCAAAATGTATACAATGACCAACCGGACGAATAATGAACTAACAAAGTGATGTAGTCATATTAAATTTGTGTCATTTACGGAAACAAATGTGATGAGCTATTTAGCTAAGAGGAAAAATATAGTTATAACGTAACTACCCAAAGTATATTAATATCCACAATGTTTCGGAAGTTATATCAACGTTCTTTTATACAATGGTTATGGATATTCATAAAAAAAATCTTTTAAAAATGATTACCTTCTACAATTCAAGCATAAAGCAGCACCAGCCCAGGGGTAGAACAAGAGGAGATGGCGCTGTAGGCGCCAAATATCAAGGGGCGCTAAAATCAAAAGCAAAAAACAAATTGCGCATAAAATAAAATTTTGATGGTGCCTTTTGAAGACGCGTGGCAGTTTTAGTTTATTAGAAAACAGATTTTGTAATTTGGCGAATGATTTAAAATAAGAACGAATACTAATTTAATATATTTCTTTAATACTAATATAATAAGTGTTATTAATGTTCAAGAAGCAGTAGTGTATAATTTATATATGTAATTAGAGCTACTTATTATTACTTGAATTTAGATAAATTTAACAAACATGATATTATATTTCTCTTCAATTAGTTTCTACAATCCCTACGAAGAGAACAGGTTTTATTGTTTAGTGACCAAATGAAATTATCACAAAATTTAAATTAATTTTCTAGCGTTAGAAACATCATAATGACTACAGCTACTTTATTTGATTTAAATTCAATAAGTGTGAATGGTTTTGTTAAATTGATTTGAAAAAAAAAAATTGGTTATTATTATTTATCTAACACAAAGTTCATGAGCAATATATGCACAATAAAAGCACCATAGGACGCTGAAAGAGTCTTACTCTACCCTGATTAAAGCTTAGGGCCGGTACTGGTAACAAGCTAACAGATATATTAAAAAAGTAATGCTTGCCTTTTCGTTCATTTTTACTTTAGTACAATTCTGTAGTCAGTTTTAAATGTAGTATATTCTGCTGGAGACAATTCAATTAGCCTTCAAATAAAAGGACCCATTGGATTCTTGAACTGCCTAAGGTTTTGTGGGATATTAAAGTGGGTTATGGTACCTCAGTTTTTAATTGACTAATCTCGAAATAATTAAAAAAATATGATTTTGATTAAAAAAAGGTATGTGTGTACTTATGTACGCATGTAAGAAGTTATACTTATTTAGCGTAACAATAGAAAAATATTAAAATATGTAGAAAAAGTACGAAAAGATTGTCGCCGCTGTGGGAATCGAATCCACGTCTTCGGCGTTCGCGGCCTGACGCTTTAACCACTAAGCTAAACGGCTGATTGCCACACCTACGAAAGTCTTAACGTCTTTTATCTACATTGTTTTTTGTCTACATTGCATTTGAAGCAATGCTTGGCGCATCCATTGTAATATCCTTTGCAGCATACATAATGTTAATGTTAAATCGTAAGTGCAAAGATTAGCACTATAAAAATTAACACCCAGTTT